TAATTCTGATGTGTAAAAGCTGTTTAAACCCACTACCCCACCACAAAAAAAAAAAAAAAAAAGAGTCTGTTTTTTTTTCAGGGTTTTTGACAGATGAGGAGTGCTTAAGGTAGCCCAAGGGAGAGTTATGAGGAATAGGGTTGAGACAGAGGAGCGGTGAAACCTCCCCCCTTCAGAAGCAGACAGATAAGCTGGGCTCATCTGTTACATGTTCTGGTCTGTCCATTTGAGTGAAATGAAACTCTATAACTAATGTTAGTCTTTCTGGAGTTACTGCTTTATTTTCAAACAGTTTTGTATTAAAAACCCAAGTAAGTAGACTTAGTGGGAATGGCACATAGAAACTTCCTTAAGTATGTTGAACTGTGGAAAGAGCAGTATGTTGCAGGACATTGATTCCTTGAGGAAAGAACATACAAATCCAGTAATGTGATAAAACCTTTTGAAGCAAGAACGCCACAAACTGCTGTTTGAAACAAGTATTTTACTAATCCCAAGTGACCATCAACTGTATTTTTCTGGTATCAAGTGTGAGAGCAAGGAGTAGTAAGTAGAGAACTTAAATCTTGAGGACAGGTGGTAAGGCTACAAAACCCATTTTCAAATAAGTACAATAACACAAGCATATCTGTAAATAAGTGAAACTGCACAAGTAGGAAGTATGACTTGGGCCAGTGTTTTACCTTCTTTGGCTTGTGAGTCAGTCACATGAGTTTGGAAAAGTGCTTCCAAACTGTCAGGAGTTCATCTTGCCCTTCACAGTATGTTTCAAAGATTATGATGTTAAGTTTTCCCAGCTCACTTTACCCTCTCTGACAAATATATTCCAGAATGGAAATGTACTGTCGGGAATTGACGGAGAGATTTGAGGATGTTTGGGTAGTTTCTGGACCTCTGACCTTGCCTCAAACAAATGTTGATGGAAAGAAGAGTGTTACTTACCAGGTATGCATATATGTGGCTGGGTTAACAATGCAGTGACAAATATTTAATTATTTAAAATTGATACTGTAGCTTGATAAAACAGGGTTAAGCATCCTAGTGCATCCTAAATATACTAAATGTCCAATGCTAGTCAGGACAAGTTCAGTAGAGCTGTTATATCTTACCTGCACATAAAAAAGTACAATTTTAGAATAATTTGGTTTACTTATAGAGAGAGATCTATTAACTGTCTGTTCAGTCTGCAGTAAAACTGTTTTCTGATTTCAGTAATACATGACAGTATCTAAGCAGAGAGTGGGCTTTGCTGATGTGTAGTCATCCGTTCAATCATTTATTGATATATTCTAGAAACAGTACAATACAAAGGTAGTATGGGTTTGTTAAAACTGTATTGGAATGCCTGTGCTCCATTACTTTCAAAGGCAGTTGTTTGCTGAAAGGCTTCATTCAAGTTCAGTAGGTTTTGGGTGAATGCATTATAATCACTGGTCCGTGTTACTGATACCCCGCCTTCTTTTGGTTACCATTTTTTATTACCTGCTTAAAATACTCTGAAGATTTTGGAGTCTAGAAACTGTCACTGATAGTCAAAAGATAGGAAGGGCTATCATGTTGAGAGATTAATTTATTATTGCTTATCCTGACTTACTCTTTGTAAGCAAGTGTTTAGACATCTGTAGGATCTGAGCATAGTAAGGTATTCAAGGAGTGAGTCTATTGCCTTCTACCCCTACTGTAATGAGATATTATTGCTGTTTTCAGTTGCTAGATAAAAGCTAGCATAATGCAAATAATAATGCTGTATTTTGTGCCTCTTGAAAAAACACTTTCCCTTGAAAATAAGTGCTTGGATCAACTGCAGCTTCAGCTCTTGAGTGATTCAGCTGTCCAACTAGTTCTCTGAGGAGCAATGAGTGAGCTTGCTGTAACAAGTTCCTATTTCAGAGGGATATGAGACAGACAAAGAAGAGAGATATTTGACTTTCAACACTGTCTTGTTTAGCTATAAGATTTAGGCATTATTTCTCCATTATAAATACACAGCTGACTTCTGTTTGACTGAACTTGGAACTTTGTCATGATGTAATGTATTTTTTCTGTTTGCTTTTACCTTTTTATTTCTTTAAAAACTGTCCCTTATGTCCCCACCCACACATGGTTGTAATCTTGACTGGGATGAAGTTACAGCTTTGGATTTAGGTTTGTCCGGTTGTTTTTTTTTTCCAGACAGTCATATCATGCATATGAAAATGCAGCCATAATAATTTATCCTTTTCATGTTCACTGGCAGTTCCAAACTTCATCTCTTACCACATCTTCTTGAGGAAGGTGGGAACTGCGCTTGTTTTCAAGTGGATAAATAAGCTATGGTTAAGGGATACAATATGTTAGTGGCAAAGACAGCTTTAGACTGACAATGGCTCCTTGCCATCCAAAGAAAGAGTGCTGACTTGGCTACTGGCCGTTATATTTTCCAGTCCTTTTCCCTGTCTGCCAGTGCTGATGACTGTCACATCCTTCCACAAGATGCTTAATTACCTAATACAATAGAAAACCATCCATAGTGGACTGTTTATTTGCTTACTGGGCTTGTTTTTTACTGCTGTAGAAAGATAAAGGAGCACACAGAGGAGTCCAGTGCTTACTGGTGACAGCATGAGGTATATCCAAAATCACAAAGCTAGGAGCAGGATGAAGACGTTCCCTTTCAACAGTCTGCTTGGCATTTGGCTTACTGTCATGCAGAATGGCACCATAGAGTTACCCAGGCTTGCACATAGCTCGCTGAAGATTGCCTCCTTGCAGCTGTCAGGATATTGCATTTTCTTTTTTATCCCTAAAGATATATGTTCATCTTACATAGCAAAGAATTAAAAATCCTGAGCTGACGTGAACATTTTATAGCTGGAAATTATTTTCCAGGAAGCAGTTGGGTCATCTATCAACTGCACCTATCAACTGCTTCCTTTTAATCTTGGTCATCTTTTTCTAGTTTTTCTCTAGAGAAAGTGTTTATTTAGAAGAGAAAGATTACATTTTCTGGAAAATGATTGTTGCTATCCATTTTCGTTTTGAAATGTGAATTTTAGTATTCCACAGGTAAAAATAATAGCAGGCACTGCATCTTACTTACAAGTTATTTATTCAAAATAACTTGATACCAGTGTACAGTGATGGAGTAATAGCCACAAAATGTCCATGCTGCTTTGATTATCATATTCTGTTCTTGTCTGTTGCCAAGATGTCTTCATCATCTTTGGCTTTGATGACAACTCTGGTCTTCTATGAATGTTTTATCAGTTTCTGTCTTAATATAAACTATGAAGTGAAATTCAGTGTAAGATTGAAAACTGTGGAATGATGGTATTCAGGTTTTCATTTTACCATTTGGCCATATTCTTAAATCCTTGGCTTCCTGTGGTGAGATTCAATATGTAAAGTGATTTGTATTTGAGTACAGATAGTGCTGTTTACAGGTGGGAAGAGTAAAATGTTGGTTTTCTTTGGGGTTTTTTTGCTTTGTTTAAGATTTTAAATTATTGTATTTAGGTCCTCTTTAGCAACACTCCTAAGTGTAAATAAATACAGGATGAGAGTTGTTTTACTATTTTGAAATATCTTTATGGCATAAGTTGTGCTTGCCATCGACATTGTCCTCTGGGGAGAGAGGCTTCAGAGTGCAGTGGTGTGTTGGGGTTTGGTTGTTGGGGTTTCCTTTATTCCTTCTTACATCAACACATACACTTAGAAGAGGGAACACAGCCTGGAGAGTTATTTTCAAACAGATACCTTGGCTATAATTGCAGGCATTGCTGTTGATTTTGGTAGTCTGGGATTGTACCCCTAAACCAAGAACGCTGAGAGTTGGCAGCTGAATGAGAAGGGAAGGTACCTATTAGTTGTCTTTTGGAGTGAACTCTGCTAGGTTCAAAAAATGAAAAGCTTTTAGTCTTCATTGTTTGGGCTTATGTAGCTTATGTGAGAAGGTGACCTTTTTCTTTGTATGTGCTGTTTAAGGAAAAGTGCTGTAGTACACACAATAGTGCTGAAACTCACAACCTATAATCTCCCATGTGACTGTTAAGGCTGAGCTCCCTTCTACTGTCTTTTTTCTCATCTGAGACTAGAAAAGAGAAAAAGAAAACACAGAAGTACTACAGTGAACGTGTCTGCATTGATTTGTTTCAGATCCTCTCTTTAATCTCAGTTTCCTTGCTTTTGTCTAAGGAGTGAAGTACGTATCCATGGCTTTACAGGCTGGTGTTTTCTCATCAGACATCCGAAAAGGTTATTTTTAGATAACTATAGAGATAAAACAGAGCATTGGTCATGGCATTGTTCCCAGTTCCTGCTTGGACTCTGGTACCATTTGCTGTTGAATTCCAGAACAGGAATTAACCTTGAACTCCTTAGATGCCAGTGTTGTTCTATCTATTGGCTGAACTTGCTGTATCCTCAGATATGTTCTGTCATTTCATCTGTCTCCAGCAGAGTCTCTTACTGCAAAGAGTAGATTGATGACCATACTTGGTATCTGAAAAACATATTTTGAGAATATATGTAAAATAGAATGCCAATAGGAAAAATCTGTCATGTGTCACTGGAGAGGCAGATGCAGAATTTTCATCTTTGTCCAGATAAAATCAAAATGACATTGTCTTGTTTTATACATTACTGTTCTCCATTGACTGTCACTTCAGTGATTTTCCTCTGTCAGCAGATTTGGAGTTTGAAATACAAATTTTGCAATAATTCTGTTGTATCATGCATGATGCTGCACCCTTCTTATTCCCAATGCCATCTTAGTAAATAATAACCTAAGAAGAATTGGTTGTGGTTGGTGAACAAAAGCACAGCGTAGATAACATTTTTTTTTGTTATTTGAAGAATATATTTTTATGTACTTTTTAGTGGTATACTAGGTTCCTACTGGAATTATGTCTGCTGTTTAATTTTCAGAATTAAATCACTAGGCTGGGCCAGAGACATACAGTAAGTGTACCAGAAGATATACTTACTCGTCATTTAGTTCTGTGGCAACAAATTGCACCTCTCAAATAGAAGGTGGTACTTTATGGTTTTCCCCAGTCAAATTTCAGAAGTACTAGATGTTTTCTGCCAGCCAAGATACTATAGGGGAAGGAATCCTTGTAAATGGATGTAAACCTGGGGACTCTTATTATTTGCTGACTTCTCCAAATGGGCTTAAGGCCATGCAGGCAACTAGTAAGATTTCGGTCCGTTATATATGTCCCATAAAATTTAACGTACAAAGGGTTAGATCTTAAATCAGCTGGTGTAAACCACTGGAACTCTGTCAGCCCTAAATTTAGAGATGATGTAGAAATGAAAATAATAGGCACTGGGTTAAGATTGGATGAGAAGAGACACCAAAGGATAGATTTATGAGGTTGCTTTTAGTTAGCACTGTAACCATCCCAAAGTTTTTTTTGTTATAGGGAGAGTGGTAATAGGGACTGTAGTAGATTCAATGTTAGGAAACCTAAACGGCTTCTGTAGAATTAGCAGTCTGTAAAAAAAAAAAAAAAAAAAAAAAGCACAACAAAACAAACAAGCCCAAACCAAAACCAGGGGCTGGAGTGTCTGTCTTTAAAGGCCATAACTATGTATTTAGGCACAGCCTTTTTTTTTTTTTTTTTTACCATGTCCTCATTTTGTTTGGGGTTGGGTTTTTCTTTCTTCCTTTCTTTTTAGTATTTCCAAATGATTTGGCAATAGCAGTCAGACCAGCCACAACAAATTAAGTTTTCCTGAAGTACATGCATTTGCATTTTGGAGTGCTTGACTGCGCAGTGTTGCAGATTGTTACTGTGCTTTTCATCTGTAGTATTTTCTGGTTTTTGTATTGCTAGGTCTGCCTCAGTTGCTAGTGCCATCTGACAGAGTTCTCTCAAATATTTGGGAGAAAACTCTATCAACAGAATCAGTGCTGCCTAACATGAATCTGAAAGGAACTGGAGTGAAGGCAGTTAATGTTG